GGGTATGGGAGGTTAAGCCCTAAAAGGTAGGTTATCGACTACTGTGGGTATGTGTATTGTTAATAAGTATTAAGATGCAGCTATGAGACTGAATCAAAATCCTAAAGGGTTACATGGAACGGAAGCGATAGGACGGTAGCTAGGCAAATCATCAAGTTCCAGAGAAGGCTGGGTGAGCATGACCACAGCATGATTAAAGGACAAGGGAAAATGGCAGAGGAAAGAGAGAGATTAAAGATTTTATTCAGAGATGGAACATTTGCAGATGAGAGAGATTAATAAGGTGTGAGAGAATGGGATCAAGAAATAACATTGTAGGACAAGAATAAAGGAGAAGTTGTAAAGTTTATACAACGAGAACTGGGCTGGAATAGTGGATACACCGGATACTGGGCTGAGAAAGTTGAATCACTGAGAACTAGGCTGTGAAAATGTATACACTGAGAGCAATGCCAGGAAATTGGAATGGGAAAGTGGGTACACTGGGTACTGGGCTGGGAAAGTGGATAGCCTGGGTACTGGGCTGGGAAAGTGGATAGCCTGGGTACTGGGCTGGGAAAGTGGATAGCCTGGGTACTGGGCTGGGAAAGTGGATACAATGCGTACTGGGCTGGGAAAGTGGATAACCTGGGTACTGGACTGGGAAAGTGGATACACTGGGTACTGGGCTGGGAAAGTGGATACACTGGGAACAGGGCCTGATGTAGATGGGGGCATGTGCCAATTTTTGTTTTTTAAGCAGCCCATTCATGCAACCCCCACTGGGCTGACCATGCGCGCAGCACTGCTGAAACACATTTGTATGGGTAAAATACCCTTTAATGTCACCATTTCTGAGGACCTATCTCTGTTTCCACACGTGGGATGGCAAAGTACAAGCCTGGCATAGCAGAATAAGAAGCAAAAATGAGGGGTGACCTTCTGAAAGTCAGATAGTTTGGATGAATGATGGATAGACAGTATTTCAGCCCTTGCCATTACCCTCCCACCCCCTCTCTTTATTGCATCGAAACTCATAGCTCAAGTCATACATACATCACTTCCTAACATTTGCTACCATTTCCTTCTCATCTCCATGCTGTATTAAAGCAATCTCATTTTAATGTTTTATATATTAATTAGCATACTCATTAATAGCTGTATTAATACCAGTCTATCAAATTGCTTTGGACAAAAATTGTGGGTAAGACACAGGGCCCGTGCAAGGATTTCTGCCACCCTAGGCCAAGATCCATTTTGCCGCCTCCTTATCTCACTCATGTGCTGACCGACACACACTAGCAGACACCCACACTTACTGACAGACACACACTCACTCACTGACACACACAGAAACTCACTGATAAACACACACACACACATATTCACTGATAGGTATAAACTCACTCAGCTTCTAACGGAGGAGGGAAGTGAGCAGCCTCGAGAAGTCTTGAAGGCGAGCATCAGAGGTGGGAGTACGGACAGAAGATAAGTAGATTGCACTAACACACTAACATCAATGGCCGGGGAAGAGGGGTATGGGAGGTTAAGCTTTAAAAGGTAGGTTATCGACTACTGTGGGTATGTGTATTGTTAATAAGTATTAAGATGCAGCTATGAGACTGAATCAAAATCCTAAAGGGTGACATGGAAATCTTGAGGCAGGTTTGCAAACTTTGGTGGATAGTTAATAAATATAGATGGATAGAGAATAAACATTTTAGCTTAGTAAATGTTATGTGGGATGTAGATGTTGTATTTGAACATTATTTGCATTTATTTGCTGAAGTGTCACTTACTTGACTACATTTATATATTTTTAGTCTTTCATATACATAGAAACATAGAAACATAGAATGTGACGGCAGATAAGAACCATTCGGCCCATCTAGTCTGCACAATTTTCTAAATACTTTCATTAGTACCTAGCCTTATCTTATAGTTATAGTCTTATACGAAGACTATTATAATACTGTGGTAGAAGTAGTTAGACAATAAGGAGACATTGATACTAGCCCATAGATTTAAAGATGAATAGCCCACTCCATCCCTGTTTTTGTGGTCGTACACCGCCCCCCTCCCACCCCACTTGCACGCCGGTGCACGGTTGCTCCATCATTGGCCCTGCACGATCCATCTCCTAAGGTCTGGTGGATCATGGACAGCCATTACTGTAACCTGTTCAATTTTGAATCGAACAGATTGAATTTATACCTTAAACCCACCCCAATGTTTTGCTACAATTTGTTACTATATCAAACATCACTGATACTAATAGATTATGGCCTACAGAGTGTACTGTGAGCATTGTGGCCAAAATTGTTGTTTCTGTTTCTGTTTGTTACCCTATGGATTACACTAATGCTTGTTTTTTATTCAGTATGTTGGCAACTCAATAACCTTATTGAATGTACTTATAAATGTTCCATGCATTGATGGATGTATTACCCACATACGCTTTTACATTGAATTGTTACGCTGAAACGTGTTGAAATTTATGTGATTTGTAACCCCTGAATAAAAAACTAATTAAACAAAAAAATACTATGGTAGAAGTATGGATTATTTTAGCTTAAAACTTCTGGCTTCAATCAATTTTACACTTTATTTTCTACACATCTTTCAAAACTCAGTTAACAAGCCAGACTTTGTAAGTTCGGTCACTCAGTAACAACCATTTATTTTTACATATGTTCCTGTTGACGTAGTGAAAATGTTATAGCAAATAGCAATCAGATGCATAAACCAAAAGGTTAGTAGGGTTTCATCATTTAGAGGCTACATAAACAAAGAATAGCTATATTGTGCTACACACACACATAGTTATTTATATATAGGCAAGTACACATATACATTTGTAAAGTTATGTGCCTCAACCCGCTCTGAAAACAGGAATGAGATGGCCAATTAAGATTCTTACCATGCAGGAAGGAAATCCAAGGTGGCCAAGAGACCACATTAGCCAGTTTGGCAGGAGGGTGAAATAAATATACTACAGGTATCTCTCACGACATCATTGATATCTGTGTGTCACCTTGCCCTGGTGCCCCTGAGATCTGTCCCTGAGCAGGAGGACATTTTATTAGGAGCGGACAACCCAGGAGAAGTCCTGCAAGTGAGAGTCTGTTTATTTTTGTTGCCAGAACAGGGCAGTAACAGGTGAAGTGGAGAGGTTGGACTGGAGCATATCTGCTAATGATGGAGGTGATGTATACAGGGGCACAGTTATGGAGAGCTTCGTAAGTAGTACGATAACTTGAACCAAACCCTTAAGGAAACAGGAAGCAATTGTAGAGACTGATAGAAGTGTGAGAGTCACTGGATGTAAGGTAGATGTGTCTGGCAAAGGTGTTCACTGTAGACTACAGAGAGGTAATGTGGAGACTTTCCAGTCATTCGGAGAGGTTGGAAGAAAACCAGGGAAGAGCAGGGTCCCTGAGGCCAAGGATGCCAACGGTGAACATGAGTGGACAGTGGTCAACAGTGTCGAAAGTGGCTGAAAAATCAAGAACAATAACTATTAAATAATAATTGGATTTGTATTTGGCTGTTACAAAATCATTAGTCACTTTGCTCAGGACTGTTTCAGTGAAATGTTGGGAACGGAAACCAGACAGTAGTGGGTTGTGTAAGGAATTGGAGTTCAGATAGTTTGTAAGTCAAGTTTGAGCAAGTATTTTAAAGAACCTGGAGGCAAAGGGAACGGAAGCGATAGGACGGTAGCTAGGCAAATCATCAGGTTTCAGAGAAGGCTGGGTGAGCATGACCACAGCATGATTAAAGGACAAGGAAAAATGGCAGAGGAAAGAGAGAGATTAAAGATTTTATTCAGAGATGGAACATTTGCAAATGAGAGAGATTAATAAGGTGTGAGAGAATTGGATCAAGAAATAACATTGTAGGACAAGAATAAAGGAGAAGTAAAGTTTATACAACGAGAACTGGGCTGGAATAGTGGATACACCAGATACTGGGCTGGGAAAGTGGATAGCCTGGGTACTGGACTGGGAAAGTGGATAGCCTGGGTACTGAACTGGGAAAGTGGATACACTGGTTACTGGGCTGGGAAAGTGGATAACCTGGGCACTGGGCTGGGTACACTGGGTACTGGGCTGGGAAAGTTGATAACCTGGGTACTGGGCTGGGAAAGTGGATACACTGGGTTCTGGGCTGGGAAAGTGGATACACTGGGTACTGGGCTGGGAAAGTGGATACACTGGGTACTGGGCTGGGAAAGTGGATACACTGGGTACTGGGCTGAAAAAGTGGATACACTGGGAACAGGGCCTGATGTAGATGGGGGCATGTGCCAATTTTTTTTTTTTTAAAGCAGACCATTCATGCAACCCCCACTGGGCTGACCATGCGCCAGCACTGCTGAAACACGTTTGTATGGGTAAAATACCCTTTAATGTCACCATTTCTGAGGACCTATCTCTGTTTCCACACGTGGGATGGCAAAGTACAAGCCTGGCATAGCAGAATAAGAAGCAAAAATGAGGACTGACCTGCTGAAAGTCAGATAGTTTGGAGGAATGATGGATAGACAGTATTTCAGCCCTTGCCATTACCCTCCCACCCCCTCTCCTTATTGCATCGAAACTCATAACTCAAGTCATACATACATCACTTCCTAACATTTGCTACCATTTCCTTCTCATCTCCATGCTGTATTAAAGCAATCTCATTTTAATGTTTTATATATTAATTAGCATACTCATTAATAGCTGTATTAATACCAGTCTATCAAATTGCTTTGGACAAAAATTGTGGGTAAGACACAGGGCCCGTGCAAGGATTTCTGCCACCCTAGGCCAAGATCCATTTTGCCGCCCCCTCATCTCACTCATGTGCTGACCGACACACACTAGCAGACACCCACACTTACTGACAGACACACACTCACTCACTGACACACACAGAAACTCACTGATAGACACAAACACACACACACCACACACAGACACCCACTGACAGACAAACACACACACACACACACTCAGCCACAGACAAACACACACACTCACTCACTAACAGACACACACACAGGCACTCACTGACAGTCAGTGAGTATATGTCAGTGAGTGCCTGTGTGTGTGTGTCTGTTAGTGAGTGAGTGCGTGTGTGTGTGTTTGTCTGTCAGTGAGTGTCTGTGTGTGGTGTGTGTGTGTTTGTTTCTATCAGTGACAGACTCAGTGACAGACTCACTCACACACACACAGACACACTCACTGATAGATATAAACTCACTCACTGACAGACAGACACAAACACAAACACACCACACAGACACTCACTGACAGACAAACACACACACACACACACACACTCACAGACACACACGCTCACTCATTCTCTAACAGACAGGCAGACACTCACTCAAACACACACACAGGCAGACACTCACTGTCATTAGAGGGACAAAGGTTTAAAAATAATAAAGTATTACTTTACTAAGAGGGTAGTGGATGCATGGAATAGCCTTCCACCTGAAGTGGTAGAGGTTAACACAGTAAAGGAGTTTAAGCATGCGTGGGATAGGCATAAGGCTATTCTAACTATAAGATAAGGCTAGGGACTAATGAAAGTATTTAGAAAATTGGGCAGACTAGATGGGCCGAATGGTTCTTATCTGCCGTCACATTCTATGTTTCTATGTTTCTATGTCATTCACTCACTGACAGGCCCACACACAGGCAGACACTCACTGACATACATACACTCATTCACTGACAGACACACACACACACACACATTGACAGACAGACAGACACACATATACACACACACACACAGAGGCAGATACTCACTGACATACATAACTCATTCAGGGACAGACACACACATACACACAGGCAGACACTCACTGAAAGGCACACACACAGGCAGACACTCACTGACATACATACACTTACTCACTGATAGTGAGTGTGTGTGTGTCTGACAGTCAAACACTCACACACTCACTGAAACACAGACTCACACAATTTTATTTTTTGAGGCCCATCCAGCTTCCCTACCTCCCTGGGATACCATGTGGGGCAGATCCTCACTCCTCCAGCGTGCGGTTTAGTATGCAGGGGCCGGAATGACGTCATATTCCGGCTCCCGGCATCACAGAGGGCGTGCGAGGGAGGAGTGAGAGGCTGCAAGAACAGCCTCCCTTGCCGCCTGGCTTCTCCTTACCCCTCTGACCCGGTCATTGGCATTTGTTGGCAGAGCAGGCACCTGCCATCAAGGTAAGCACGTGCCTGCTCTGCTTACCTAGCACAGCTTCGGGGGCGCCGTGAGCTGTCCAGAAAGCCACCTACTGGCCTCCCTGTAAAAGGGTTCCTCTGGGTGCCTCCACCTTCAGGCGCCTTGAGGATCGGCCTGGGACCTACTACAGTAACAAGAGATGACATAGCATACTTTCTGACCCACTGGTAATTTTAACAGAAAATAAAATAAAAGCACACAGGTTAGGATCCAGCATATACAAAATGCGCATTTCAAGGTTACTGAAAATTCCATATATCAAGTAAAAATATTTAATTTCATTAGAAATTTTTAAACCCAATACTATCTGGAAGACAAGTATGTATTCCTGGCACTACAATGTTAAACTATTAAGGATACCGGACCCCCATTTGTGCAGTAAACAGTTGTTAAAACTCACCTATTTTCCTACTCCGCGCAGGTCTTGCAATGGCTGGCTCACTGTGGCTGGAACACTAGCAAACCTGTATTGCTAATGCTTTGGTGTTCTTGTCCCTAGTTATATAGGTCCCTGTGCACTATATGTGTGTGTGATAAAAATATTACAATAAATGGCGTAGCTTTTTCCAGCATCGAGGCTCCCTTAGAACTTACCTCCTGTGATGTCATTTTACTTCACTATTGTTGGTCCAATCCAATGCTCCTCTCGGTGGAGCATGGGGGACCTGATACGCATGTGCAGATTGCACAGCATGCATCCAAGAGTTTTGCTCGGCCAGTGCCGCAGAAATGTCCCTAGTGGATGTCAGTCTGAGAGCCACTAGAGGTGGAATTAACCCTGCAATGTAAACATTATACTTTCTAAAACCTGCAATGTTTTACATCACAGAGTTAAAAGGACAGGGGCATTGCACGCACAACACTTTGAGATAAAGTGGTCTGGGTGTAGTCAATGTTCCATTAACAATGTTACCTTCCTGGCTGTTATAGATTGTTAATAGGTTAAAGTATTTTATCCGTGCATTATTTTGTTAATTGCTGTATTACTGTATAGACTGGTCTCACATCCATCTTTCGCTAGAAGCAAGTCTGACCTTGTGTTACAAAAAATGAATGGTATGTAAATCATTTGAGTAAACAAATTTTTGCATCATTTGCGTATGGAAATTCGATCTGTTCCTCTGACTGACAGTTTTCTCCAGAGTGTTACTGTTCCTCCCACGACTTGGAAAATCCTTCTGACTGCATTTGTGACTAATTCCACTTTAAACACATTTTCACAAGGATTCCCCATGACTAAAAGGGATTTGCACGTCTCTGATAAGCGGTATCCTCAAAGATTAAGATGATTAGCAACCAGCATCACCTGTCTGCCCTGCTGTGTGGCTTACAAAATCTCCTGATATTATCAGGGTGGCTTTTCTAAGGTTTACAACTGCATAGGTCTAAATTTATTATGTAGACTGACTTAAAGTTACAATAAGGAAACATTACCTACATTTTAACATGTTTAAGTAATCTGTTATTTGGAATTCTACTCACGGTGCAAATATAAAGAAGTGCTTGACGGAAAAAAAGATTTTTGATGGTTACGGGACAGGCACCGAATGTTGATTTTATTCAAAGATCGAGAGAGAAATTACTAATTGAGGAAAAAAGTAATAGCGCTATAAAAATCTTTATTTGTATATTTTATTGGGTGCAGTGTAGAAGGTCCCCTAACCCTGGAGAGGTAATTATCGCAGTGTTTAATAAACTACAATAATAACCTTTGAGGGTTAACTCCACCTCTAGTGGTTGTCTACCAGATATCAACTAGAAGGACTTCTGGCTCATTAGACAATTTTTGGTTGCTTAACTCTGGACATCTCCACGCTAAGCATTAAGGCATCCAGCGTCACCTGAAATCTCATAGGAGAGCATTGTATAACAAGTGGTAATAAGGGGTAAGTATTAATTCGAGTGCAGACATTGCCGCACATGCGCATTAGGTCCCCCAAGCTGGCTGACGTCGGCGGCGGAGGAAAAAAGGCAGAGCCTGAGCAAGCACCAAGGGACATCGGGACTGGATTCAGGTCATAAGGGGTTTTTAACTCCCTTTCTGCACTACTGGGGAAGGTGAGGTTTAATTTGAGATAATGGGCAAAATAGGAAGCTATAGTGCCAGGAAAAAAAACTTTGTAAATAGAGAATTCTGTGTATAGTTAGATCATGTTTATTTTTACTTGCTGAAGTGTTAAAGAAAATAAAACACTTAAACCCAGAGTTGGATTTTGTCCTGTGTTGCAGACTATAGAGGACTGTAGTTAAGATCCCAGACAGACAAACCAAAGGACAGTTTTGACACATTATATACAATTTGAATATTGCTTTTTTCCCTCCTCACTCTATGGGTTATTTAACTTCATCTGTGAACTAAATATTGGTAAGCACCTATCAGTGTTCTACGTAATATTTAGGTATATATTTTGCAGTACATCGATTGGCCCATTTTTGGCCCTTTTCCTTGTTTCCATGCATATTTTTCAATAGACAATATTTGGCCATACTAAATTGTCACATAAACGAGTGTTGGCTATCACGAACAAAAAGTTACATTTCAGGGAAAATGTATTCAGCCAAACCTGCTGTACACAAGTCCAGTAAATATGCACATGTTAATAAATATATATATTTCTTGCTTGATATTCGTAATTGCTTATATACCAAGAACAACAAATGACTAGAGGTCTGGTTGGTGCTTCCACCTTCCAAGCCTCTAATTCGAGTGCAGCGCTATATAGATCTGTATAGAACAAATGTATGAATATACATATAACTTACCCCTCTCAATACTTATTTGGGGGTGTACATGAAAAACAGAAACAGAAAAATATACAAAATAATAGTGCAATATTGTATATATATATATATATATATATATATATATATATATAAAGTGGTATTATAATGTGGCAGCCAACTGAGAAAGCTAATCGGAGCGAAACGCGTCTTGGCAGAGGATACACAGACTGGGACTATTTATTTGAAACCATATAGAGCTACTGATATATATGTTTTTTATTTTCTAGTTTACTGTGTGTAACTTATTTGTATTTTATTCAGTAATAAATTTAGTAATATCTATTACTGCATCCTGCACTCTTTCCGGTAAAGGGGGAGGTGTCACCACAATTTGACACTAAGCCTGCAAACTTTGAGCCAGTATTTAAAAGGCTCTTAAAGAGGTGAGCACCCTATTTTCTTCTTTTCAATATATCAGTCCAAAGAGGATTTCCTAAAATACTAAACCTAGAGTCTCTCTCCTCTTTTCCTGCATATACTCATTGTGGAGTGGAGGGAAGTAAGAATTTTGAAGAATTGAAAGGGGTCAAGCTGTCTACCTTAAAAGGACACGGAAGCCTAGAAGTTTAGAGCCTAATATCTGAAAAGGCTCTAAATTATGTGAGTAGTCATAACTCACACATTATAATACCACTTTATATATATATATACAATATTGCACTATTATTTTGTATATTTTTCTGTTTTTCATGTACACCCCCAAATAAGTATTGAGAGGGGTAACTTATAGGTATAATCATACATTTGTTCTATACAGATCTATATAGCGCTGCACTCGAATTAAAGGCTTGGAAGGTGGAAGCACCAACCAGACCTCTAGTCATTTGTTGTTCTTGGTGTCTATTTATAGGGGGGGATTGGGAGTACCCACAGAGTGTTTTCAGCAGCTAAAGTCAAATCACTATCAATACACAACTCTCTATAAGCACCATATCTCCACACCAATCTGTGTTTACGCTTTCTACAATATATATATTATTATTTTCATCCCAGAAAAGTTAAAAAGATGAGCTTTTCAGGAATTCCATTAAAAGACTAGACATCCCCAGACAGTTCATTCCTGAGTGATACC